GGGGGGGTAAAAACAGCTTTAAAAAGGAAGTTGCAGTTTTTGAACAGTTATGTCGAGCAGACGACTCTAGAAAACTTGATGTTTGTGTTTTAAAGCGGGAAAAATACCTTTTTTTTTATCAAACGTTCTAGTACTAGCTAGTTCTTCTTTTTTTTTTTTCTTTCAGTATAACTTTGTTTCTTTCTTTTATTCGTTCTTCATCCATCCTTTCTTCTTTCTTTCTTTCTTTCTTTCTTTCTTTCTTTCTTTATCTTTCTTTCACTCTTTCTTTCTTTATTTCTTGTTTTTCCTTCCATTCTTTCTTTATTTTATTCATTCTTTCTTTCTATTTGTTTCTTTATCTTTCATTCCTTCTTTCTTTCTTTTCTTTTTAGTTTCTTATTTATTTCGTTATTTAATTTTTTCTTTCCTTATTTCTTTTGTTCCTTCTTTCAATCCTTGTTTCCTTCCTTCCATCTTTCCTGTTTTTCCTTCTTTGAATCCTTCTTTTTTTCTTTTTTTCTTTCTTTCATTCTTTCTTATTTGGATCCTTTACTTTTTTCCTTTCTTTCCGTCTTGCTCTCTTTCCTCCCTTCTTTTTTTCCCTTTTCCTTTCTTTGTCTGTTTCTTTCTTTCCAAATTTCTTACTTTTTTCTCTCTCTTTTGATTCTTTCTTTCTCTCTGTCTTTCTTTTCTTTCTTTACTTATTTGATTCTACATACCTTTCTTTATTTCCTTGTTTCTTTCATTTCTGTTTCTTTCATTCTTATATTCTTCCTTCCTTCCATCCGTTTTTTTTCCTCTTTTCTTCTCTTTTGTCTTTCTTTCTTCCTATATATTCGTTCGTTCTTTCTGTCCGCCCAACACGAGATGATTGCTTACATATCACGTTGTATTGTGTCATCTCTCTCACGAGGAATATATAAACATTGGTGTATTTTATCGCAGTGGTCATTTTAAGGGCAATGACAAAAAGGCAGAATTAAAATCCCTATTTCTCATGAAACGCGTTACTCATCTGTTCAGTGTGTTTTAGCGCATCGTACAGTCCTTGGGAACTCATGAAAGAAACCGACGGCAGGAATTCGGTGACCTTCAACAACGCAGCAATACGAGTCACCGTGACCTTCAACAAGAAGGATGAAAACCAGCGGACATTGACACAATTTAGACCTGGGGTGGGGGGTGAACCTTTGGGGGGGCCGGGATAACGGTTGAAGTTGACGTCATGTATTTTAGATTGGATTGGTTTAACCAATATTTAGGCTGAATGCTGAAATTTCCTTACAGTGGGTGGCTAAAATGCCCAGAGAGTGGGATATAAGAAATTGGTTTGTTTTAAAATGGGAAGAAGTGAAAAAAGGAGTGTGGTTTGGGGGGGGGGGTGTAAAAGTTGTTGTTCTTTAAAGTAACCACCTTGAGGTTTTTTTCTATATCGCTGTACAAACATATTTCAGTTGTGTTAGTTCTATCCTACAATGCACCACAGTTGTGGATCTTATGTTTAACGCCACTCTTAGGGTTACACAAAAGTGGCGTTTATTTCTTTCCTTTGCATAACGGGAAAATCTTCCAGGATTAAAACTCATGTGACCCTAAAGTTGATGGGGTTAAGCTGTAAAGACTCTAAGTATGTAATTATGATCCAGGATTTTAAAAATTGGGACACCCAAACAGCCTTGATATTGTTAGAGATCAAGCGCTCGTCCATACGGATTGCGATGTGATTATCACCCCTGTCGTCAGCAAAGCATCTCACACGGTAGAGGAGTAGAAGGAAAGCAAGGGGCACTGCATTGTGGTAGGCAAAGGGTCAATGGTCTCAGTGTGGTCAATGTGGCGTTGTGGTAGGCAGAGGGTCAATGGTCTCAGTGTGGTCAATGTGGCGTTGTGGTAGGCAGAGGGTCAATGGTCTCAGTGTGGTCAATGTGGCGTTGTGGTAGGCAGAGGGTCAATGGTCTCAGTGTGGTCAATGTGGCGTTGTGGTAGGCAAAGGGTCAATGGTCTCAGTGTGGTCAATGTGGCGTTGTGGTAGGCAGAGCGTCAATGGTCTCAGTGTGGCCAATGTGGCGTTGTGGTAGGCAGAGCGTCAATGGTCTCAGTGTGGTCAATGTGGCATTGTGGTAGGCAGAGCGTCAATGGTCTCAGTGTGGTCAATGTGGCGTTGTGGTAGGCAAAGGGTCAATGGTCTCAGTGTGGTCAATGTGGCGTTGTGGTAGGCAGAGCGTCAATTGTCTCAGTGTGGTCAATGTGGCGTTGTGGTAGGCAGAGCGTCAATGGTCTCAGTGTGGCCAATGTGGCGTTGTGGTAGGCAGAGCGTCAATGGTCTCAGTGTGGTCAATGTGGCGTTGTGGTAGGCAGAGCGTCAATGGTCTCAGTGTGGTCAATGTGGCGTTGTGGTAGGCAAAGGGTCAATGGTCTCAGTGTGGTCAATGTGGCGTTGTGGTAGGCAAAGGGTAAATGGTCTCAGTGAGGTCAATGTGGCGTTGTGGTAGGCAAAGGGTCAATGGTCTCAGTGTGGTCAATGTGGCGTTGTGGTAGGCAGAGGGTCAATGGTCTCAGTGTGGTCAATGTGGCGTTGTGGTAGGCACAGCGTCAATGGTCTCAGTGTGGTCAATGTGGCGTTGTGGTAGGCACAGCGTCAATGGTCTCAGTGTGGTCAATGTGGCGTTGGACCAAATTATATAAAAATGTATTGGTTCCCAAATCTTATCAGGATTTACCGACTGGTCTCATAAAAAAAAATTTAAAATTTATTTTGTACAATGTTTTACTTTTAGACTTATCTATTAATTTATTGATGCGAAACTCGGCCATGCATTTCAATTTGTGTAAATACGTCTGATTTTCATATTTTGACATTCCTTTACATGTTGGCGTTGCTTGTAGTGATATTTAGTTTTTAAGGAAAATTTCATTTGAACTTACCAATAAAATAACGATTTAAAAACAAAAAATGTATGTCCCATTTTTCCTGTGACAGTGTTACCAGACTTGGACATACACGTATCAGACTTGAACATACACGTATCAGACTTGGACATACACGTATCAGACTTGGACATACACGTATCAGACTTGAACATACACGTATCAGACTTGGACTTACACGTATCAGACTTGGACTTACACGTATCAGACTTAGACATACACGAATCAGACTTGGAAATACACGTATCAGACTTGGACATACACGTATCAGACTTGAACATACATGTATCAGACTTGAACATACACGTATCAGACTTGGACATACACGTATCAGACTTGAACATACACGTATCAGACTTGAACATACACCTATCAGGCTTGAACATGCACGTATAAGACTTGGACATACACGTATCAGACTTGGACATACACGTATCAGACATGGACATACACGTATCAGACATGGACATATACGTCTCAGACTTGAACATACACGTATCAGACTTGGACATCCACGTATCAGACTTGAACATACACGTATCAGACTTGGACATACACGTATCAGACTTGGACATACACGTATCAGACATGGACATACACGTATCAGACATGGACATACACGTCTCAGACTTGAACATACACGTATCAGACTTGGACATACACGTATCAGACTTGAACATACACGTCTCAGACTTGGACATACACGTATCAGACTTGGACATACACGTATCAGACTTGGACATACACGATTCACTCAGGCCCAACAACGTTTTCCTCTCGCTCAGTCCAAAAGTTGCTTTAAATATCAACGACAAATATAACTATTTTTGCCCTTGCTTTTCCCAAAGTAAATCTCTCAAAGCTTCAAAGGGGCAGAGAGAAGTATGACGACGCTAAGGGGATCTAACTTCCATGTCATCATTTCATTCATTCACTTAAAACCCACCATGACAGAGATGGCATAAAAACACAATGCCATCCGATCACAACGAAAGTCATGTGGGCTGTCTGTACACTACTGACCGGGGTTCAAACCCGTGCAGTGGTTGAATAAATCTGATCAGGGTCAAGCCAGGCACCTAGAGATAAGACGCCTTTATAATTGACCTGTGGATGTCAGGCACAATGATTTATGACCAGTCAGGTGAGTGGTATACATTACAATCTGAAACATAGAAGAACTTTGTACTATTTCGTGTCTTAGTTGTGCGTTCATTTTGCATTAAGCCATTATGAAACAAAAGCAAAAATCTTAGAAGAGAGAAAATTAAATCATCTACAAATAACTCTGTAGCCATCAATAACCTCTCAACAAATCTGTCGCCATCAATAACCTCTCTACAAATCTGTCGCCATCAATAACCTCTCAACAAATCTGTCGCCATCAATAACCTCTCAACAAATCTGTCACCATCAATAACCTCTCAACAAATCTGTTTTTGCGATGATAGATTTATAACTTAACTATCGCTTTCTGGCAAGTTTGTTCTGGAGTTGTTTCCTACTGACTCCAGCCAGCAGTTTTCACATCTTCACCTCTAAGTGCCAAGAAATAATATTATAAAATGAACTTATTTTAAAAAAACTTTCTTTCAACTCAAAAATCCATCGAGTTTGTTGATTGCATCTAGCTTGTTGATAGCATCGAGTCTGTTGATAGCATCGAGTCTGTTGATAGCATCTAGCTTGTTGATAGCATCTATCTTGTTGATAGCATCGAGTTTGTTGATTGCATCTAGCTTGTTGATAGCATCGAGTCTGTTGATAGCATCTAGCTTGTTGATAGCATCGAGTCTGTTGATAGCATCTAGCTTGTTGATAGCATCTAGCTTGTTGATAGCATCGAGTTTGTTGATTGCATCTAGCTTGTTGATAGCATCGAGTCTGTTGATAGCATCTGGCTTGTTGATAGCATCGAGTCTGTTGATAGCATCTAGCTTGTTGATAGCATCGAGTCTGTTGATAGCATCTAGCTTGTTGATAGCATCTAGCTTGTTGATAGCATCGAGTCTGTTGATAGCATCTAGCTTGTTGATAGCATCTAGCTTGTTGATAGCATCGAGTCTGTTGATAGCATCTAGCTTGTTGATAGCATCGAGTCTGTTGATAGCATCGAATTTTGTTGCTCAGAGAACGAAGAGAGAATGGTGGGTCGGGGCGCTCACGAGAGAGCTGGGTAATTTTGGGCAGCGGTTGTTCGAGAAGGGCACAGGTGCCGGGCATACGGCAATCAGAATGTGGACAACGGACAGCACGCGATAAAACGTCTCAGACGTCAAATTCTACTTTTTAAAGTTTACGCCCCTGTAAAGAGTGAGGTGACTTAAAAATGTTCTTCTGTAAGCGTTCCTAGTTTTAAATAGTAGATCATTCTTCTGAAAGCGTTCCTAGTTTTAAATAGTAGATCATTCTTCTGTAAGCGTTCCTAGTTTTAAATAGTAGATCATTCTTCTGAAAGCGTTCCAAGTTTTAAATGGTAGATCATTCTTCTGTAAGCGTTCCTAGTTTTAAATAGTAGATCATTCTTCTGAAAGCGTTCCTAGTTTTAATTAGTACATCATTCTTCTGTAAGCGTTCCTCGTTTTAAATAGTACATCGTTCTTCTGTAAGCGTTCCTCGTTTTAAATAGTACATCATTCTTCTGTAAGCGTTCCTAGTTTTAAAAAGTAGATCATTCTTCTGTTGTCGATTATTTAACATTACATGGTAAAAAGGAAACAATTAAAAGCATATTTTAAAAAAAAAAAATTAAAATGGTTTTCTATCAAATTTACAATAACGACTTCTATCACAATAAAAGTAGAAAATAATGCAAAATATCTTAAACTACATCACGCAAAAAAAATTCTGCAGAATTATATTTTTAATTAAATAAAATAAAAATTAAATGTTTTTATATTTCTTCTATTTTTAATTCGAATACTTTGGACACTAAGATTTTCTTTCTACACTTCTGCACAGACTTTCTTTGCGTAATGCATTTTAAGAAATGTAACTTTTTTTCCCTACTTTTTGGTGCCTTAAAAGTTGTCTTCGATCGAATGTCTTCCTTTTTTTAAAAATTTATTATTTTATAAAATATTTGTTTTAAAAAGTTTGAATTAAGCTTTACGCTGATATTGCCTTCATCAGAATGTTACGCCTTGTCTGCGTCTTGTCTGTTGTCTTGGCCTGCGTGGGGGCAGACATAAACATTCCCATCACCCACTACGCCAATGGATGGTTCCAGGCAGATGGATGCTTCAAGGTCGCCCAGGAGTTGACCTCATGGACAGTGACACTCACATTTGACCAGACCATCACATTCTTTTTTGTAAGTTCTTAGACCAGGGTCACTCCAAACCTTCTCATTATTTTTTTGTGTAATATCTTAGACCAGTGTCACACCAAGCCATCACATACACCTTTGAGAGAAATCATTGGACCAATGTTCACTTTACTATCCATGTAAGAAGAAGACTGGATCTAAAAGGCTACTGGGACAACATTTCCGTGTTCACAATTAATGCATTAATCATCAAGCCATCCCACCAACCTTTCATTATTATCATACTTGAGTTTATGTATCATTTTATACAACAATCATCTTATAGGAAAACTCATCTACATGCAGACTTCCAATCTAGAGTCTTACATTCAGACTTTCAATGTAGAGTCTTACATCCATACTTTCAATGTAGAGTCTTACATCCATACTTCCAATCTAGAGTCTTACATCCATACTTCCAATGTAGAGTCTTACATCTATACTTTCAATGTAGAGTCTTACATCTATACTTCCAATGTAGAGTCTTACATCTATACTTTCAATGTAGAGTATTACATCCATACTTTCAATGTAGAGTCTTACATCCATACTTCCAATGTAGAGTTTTACATCCAGACTTCCAATCCGGAGTCTTTTCTTGAGATAATTTCTAAAGTTAGATTACTCTGTCACTTTCTCAAAGGCTCCTGAGGCAACCCTCAAGCAGACCCTGGACAATGGTAAGGTCTACGTCCTTCAAAATAAAACATGGAACAAAGTTCAACCTGTTGGTGACCAGCTGTGCATTCGTTTTGAAGGACGAGGTGCGTATGAATATGAATTTTAAAAAATACAGTAGAGCGATCATGTGACCAGAATGTGATCATGTGACCAGACTGTGATCATGTGCGCAGACTGTGATAATGTATCACAGTGATCATGCGACCAGACTGTGATCATGTGACCAGACTGTGATCATGCGATCAGACTGTGATCATGTGACCAGACCGTGATCATGCGACCAGAATGTGATCATGTGACCAGACCGTGATCATGCGACCAGACTGTGATCACGTGCCAAGACCGTGATCATGCGACCAGACTGTAATCATGTGACCAGACCGTGATCATGCGACCAGACTGTGATCATGTGACCAGACCGAGATCATGCGACCAGACTGTGATCATGTGACCAAACCGCGATCATGTGACCAGACCGAGATCATGTGACCAGACTGTGATCATGTGACCAGACTGTGATCATGTGACCAGACTGTGATCATGCGACCAGACTGTGATCATGTGCCCAGACTGTGATCATGCGACCAGACTGTAATCATGTGACCAGACCGTGATCATGTGACCAGACTGTGATCATGTGACCAGACTGTGATCATGCGACCAGACTGTGATCATGTGACCAAACCGCGATCCTGTGACCAGACCGAGATCATGTGACCAGACCGTGATCATGTGACCAGACTGTGATCATGTGACCAAACCACGATCATGTGACCAGACCGAGATCATGTGACCAGACCGAGATCATGTGACCATAAATTAATCCCAATTACAGAATACAGAAACATCCTGGCCCCTGTCAGTCCAGAAAATCGACGCTCTACCTTAGATCTTCTAATAATAAGAGTACTTGTTAATTTAAAACGTTTAGGCTTATCAAACTTCCATGTAACCAATAACATCTTTGTAATGTCGCCTGAGCAGTCCTACCAAACTGGACCATACAAGAACGGTCATGCTCAGAAAGATGGCATATGTCCATCACAATGAGACGATGGTGTAGACTTCACATGTCGAAATCCACATGGCCTGGGATTATTCTTTTAAGGATTATAAGCTAGCTCCTTACACAGCAACGTGCCTCTCTCCACTCCGCTGGATAACCCAAGGGAACATCATGTGGATAATACAGCTTGGCGCTAGTGGCGTCGCAGGATTGTCAGAATGTTTCATTGTGTCAATGCCATCAACCTGCGGGAATCCATCTCCGGGTTTGAATTTAGAGTTTCCTTCTCTTATATGAGTTTCCCCCCGAGGTTAACGAGTCCAATTCACCCGGAGTGCTGGTAATGTTTTTACTTGATTGAGCTTTGGTGGGGGATTGAACTCCAGACCATGAACTTGAGATTGGCTCAGCTTAGACCACTCGGGCACCCAACACTCGTACGTACTCTACACCTCAAGGAAGCCTGCAAAATTTCATTCCTGGCGCTGATTAGGATCAATCATTAATGACATTAATATTTTGAATAGTAGCATTGAGGAGTCTCCTATTTAAAAAAAAAATATCATTCATCCAACAACCGAAAGATTTCAAAAATATTTAGTTTTACTAGTACACGTGAATATATACATCAATTGTAATCCAACCATTTTTTGTTGTTGTTGGTGGTAGATCAAACGTTAAATATAATTTTAATCCTTGCTTATTGCCAACTATTTCATTTTTTAAGATTGCTTTATCCAGTTTAAAAATTCACAATATCTTTGTTTCAGGGACAGGAGCATCCGAGCCGGTTGTTACTGGTTCCTTACAGCCGGGAAGTTGAATGTTCATACACCGAGGATTTCAATCATCCAATCCCTGTGTTACACGTGTACTTATAAGGACTTGAGTTATGGTCATGTTTCCAGGCTAGCTAAATTATGTGCGTCCACACAACACGGCATGTGCCATGTTCACATGTGGTTCCACTACCATGTCACTCTATTGGGGTTATCTCAGTGTGTTACTATTATTTATAATGTCATAGAGAAATAAAAAAAAAATTCAAGTTTAAGGTGTCATTCGTCTGGGATCTCTACGTGTTACTTTCGCAAGGATGGACATACAATGACTGTAGTCATGCTAAAATATCTTTGAGGTAGGAACTCATGTAGACAATGACTGTAGTCATGCTAAAATATCTTTGAATTAGGAACTCATGTAGACAATGTCTGTAGTCATGCTAGGAGATCTTTGATGCAGAAGCTCATGTAGACAATGTCTGTAGTCATACCAGAAGATCTTTGATGCAGGAGCTTATGTAGACAATGTCTGTACTCATGCCAGAAGATCTTTGATGCAGGAGCTCATGTCAAACTACCAAGTTAAATGAGGCGCAGGGTCGTCTCAACACTTACTAAATCCAGGGCCTTCTTAACAACACTGGAGCCCCTTACTGAGTCCAGAGCCTTCTTAACAACACTGGGGCCCCTTACTGAGTCCAGAGCCTTCTTAACAACACTGGGGCCCCTTACTGAGTCCAGGGCCATCTGAATAACATTGGACCCCTTACTGAGCCCAGTGCAGTCTTTACAGAAACAGGGGGCCTTAATGAATCCAGGACCGTTGTAACAACACTGGAGCCCCTAACTGAGTCCAGGATAATCTTAACATAAATGGGGAGCCTTGGGCAAATTAACCCACTGCCCCCCCCCCTTTACTATAGGGCAAGGGTCGGGAACCTATGGCTCGCGAGCCAGATGTGGCTGCATCTGGCTCGCAGACAAATGTTCGATTATAAAAAAAAAAGTCGCATTAATGGTAAGAAATACTCATTATTGATTAACAACAGCATAACAATGTTATTAAAAAGAATTCAGAGACATAACTATTGCATTTTTAGTGTTGAAATTACACAAAATGCATACATTTTCTTGAATTTGTAGTTTTAAACATAATGTATGGCTCTTACAGAATTACTTTTCAAAATATGTGGTGTCCATGGCTCTCTCTGACAAAAAGGTTCCCGACCCCTGCAATAGGGCTATCTGACCTACACAAGTCGAGTTAGCAATTAAACTATACGTATAGTGTGGTCATTGTGCCGCCTAGGGTGGATCTTGAACTTGCCGCCCCTGCCCCATCCCAGACACAAAAACGCCGAGCAGTTCACATAAAATAAAACTGCGACATCTGGAGAACGGAGGTTGGGGGGGGGGGTGTCCTTAAAACTTTAAAACTTCACTTTAATGGTGCAGTCCGGTGGACGTTGGTGAAATTCGGTGAAAGCTAGCTGGTTAATGGTGTTGTTTTTGTTTTGTTTTTTGTATAAAATAAAACTGCGACATCTGGAGAACGGAGGTTGGGGGGGGGGGGTGTCTTTAAAACTTTAAAACTTCACTTTAATGGGGCAGTCCGGTGGACGTTGGGGAAATTCGGGGAAAGCTAGCTGGTTAATGGTTTTGTTTTTGTTTTGTTTTTTGGAATCTGGTTAATCTTGGTGGACGAGGAACATTGCATTCCTTGTGGCCCACGAAAGTTTCAATCAATTTAGCGCAGTCAAGATCAGCACTCCCATCATGCTTGATGGATAGCATTGATAATCCACAAAGCAAATCCAGCGGCATGGCTTAAGCGGACTAAGAATTCAACTGGCTTCATATCAGAGAAGCTGGGCTCTCCGCTTGCAACACTAACAGACATATGGAGATGTTGATTGGCAAACTGACCGGCACAGACTGTGTGTGTGTGGGGGGTGGGGGTGGGGGTGGAGATGCAATGCTTATCTATGAAATTGAAACATAACATTGCTCTATTATTGACTAGCATCAAACCTATAAAACCAGAGTTGTTTTAAAACAAAAACATAAAAAATCTATTGTCATTTTGCTATATAAAAATCCGCATGCAGGGCCGTTTATGTCGTATGGAGGGCCATGTTGTGATGTACGCAGGGCCGTGTCGAGGAAGAGTGGCCCCGGGGGCTAAGCCTGAAAACAACGTCCCTCAACGTCCCTTAGGACTTTAGAAGTGCGATCCGATGTAGTCAAAGATAGTCGTGGCGCTCCTTGTGTTGGCACCTGGGCGCCCCTGATGTTGGCACATGGGCGCCCCTGAGGTTGGCACCTGGGCCCCCCTGATGTTGGCACATATGCACCCCTGATGTTGGCACCTGGGCCCCTGTGATGTTGACACCTGGGCACCCCTTGATGTTGGCACCTGGGTGCCCTTAATGTTGGCACCTGGGCACCCCTGATGTGAGCACCTGGGGCCCCCTTATGTTGGCACCTGGGTGCCCCTGGTGTTGGCACCTGGGACGATTTACCCCCATTCACTCATTTACACGAATGGCAGAACATGTACGGTCTCTTTCTCAATGTCTCTAGGTAGAAAAGTCGTGTGGTTTGATCCAAATAAGTCATGGGTATGAACGTTTATTAAGATCTTTTTTTTAACGAACATTTATTTAGAGATTATGGATATTAACCTATATTTAGAGATTATGGAAATGAACGTTTATTTAGAGATTATGGATATTAACCTTTATTTAGAGATTATGGAAATGAACGTTTATTTAGAGATTATTGAAATGAACGTTTATTTAGAGATTATTGAACTTGACTGACATTTTATTCATAAAAGGCCGCATTGAGATTTAATCTTTAACAAAGCATGCAACAAAGTCTGCCTTAAAGTCTGCCATAAAGTCTGCCTTTAAGTCTGCCATAAAGTCTGCCTTAAAGTCTGCCTTAAAGTCTGCCATAAAGTCTGCCATAAAGTCTGCCATAAAGTCTGCCATAAAGTCTGCCATTGTTCAGTCAAGGTTCCACATCCCCTGTTCAACAATTCCTTCACACAGCTTGAATGCAGCCCTTCATTTATTATCTTTTATTCTACTGTCTACGCACGTCCCCCTCCTCCCCCACCCCCCACCCTCCACTCCCCCGAGCGCCCCTGGCCCAAAATCTCATTCTAATGTTAAATGAAGATTTACAAACTCGTCAGACTATTTGACAAGGTCACATGTGATTCGAAGCTGCCAGATTTTGCTTACCGTTACAACACACAACTAACGGGGGTTGGTTCGACCTTGTTTTTGAAAGAGCAACCCGTCAACAACATCAACAAAAACATGTTTACACAAACAAATTAGAGTGTAATGGGTCTGCTTCTGCTCGTCCTTGGCCCTTTGGCTATGTGCACTGCTAACATGTCTTAGAGATCGTAGTTGGGAGATTAGCTAAATAAATAGCGTTTTAAGTTTCTTTCTGTATTTTTTTTCTCTTGGGTCTTGGGTTACAATGGAGGTCATCATGTCTGTGTGACATTTTGACCTAGCGTTTTAACATCTGCTATCAGTTCCAAGGGTCTCAAACATTATCAGTTCCAAGGGTCTCAAACATTATCAGTCCCAAGGGTCTCAGTCATTATCAGTTCCAATGGTCTCAATCATTATCAGTCCCAAGGGTCTCAATCATTATCAGTCCCAGGGGTCTCAATCATTATCAGTCCCAGCGGTCTCAATCATTATCAGTTCCAATGGTCTCAATCATAATCAGTCCAATGGTCTCAATCATTATTAGTCCCAAAGTTATCAATCATTATCAAGTTCGCAAATTTCTAATGAGAATAAAAGCGGAATAACCCGATTTTCATTAGTATCGGGGGCCTAATTTCTGGTAAGGTGTTATGGCAATTTTTCAAAATAAGATTAAAATTTGGATTCTTTTTTTTTTTTTTTTTTTTTTTTTTTTTTTTTTTTTGATTTGTTTGGAAATCCGCATACTTAACGAAATACTTGACAGGAAAAATTGGCGCAATAACAAACGGGCCCTTCAACCATTAGGCACATTTAGCCATTAGGCCTATCTCGTCATTAGGCCCATTCGGTCATTAGACCCATTCAGCCATTAGGTTCATTCCATCGTTCGGCCCATCCGGCCACTGAGTCCATTCTGTCATTAGGCCCTTTTTTTTTTTTTTTTTTTTTTTTTTTTTTTTTTTTGATTTGTTTGGAAATCCGCATACTTAACGAAATACTTGACAGGAAAAATTGGCGCAATAACAAACGGGCCCTTCAACCATTAGGCCCATTTAGCCATTAGGCCTATCTCGTCATTAGGCCCATTCGGTCATTAGACCCATTCAGCCATTAGGTTCATTCCATCGTTCGGCCCATCCGGCCACTGAGCCCATTCTGTCATTAGGCCCATTCTGTCATTAGGCCCATTCTGTCATTAGGTCATTTCGGTCCTTCCCATATTAGTATAATGCATGGAGGGCTTTCTGGCCGATTATCCGCTCGGGGTGCAAGTAGGACTGCCAGATACGTGGACACCAAAAGGAGGACATAATAAAACAAAAAAAGAGGACAAAAGAGGACATTTTGTATGTTTCATTTGTGTCGTCCCGGATTAAAGTCACAGTCAGCACAATTTTATTGTAATAGCTGCCAATTAAGTGTATCTTACTCTTAGTGAATCGACCAAGAAACAGTCACGTTAAAAAAACAAAGTCAATAGGGGCCTTTTTCAAAATGTCAAAAAATATCATTTAAATAGCCAATTGTACAATCATTACCTTATAATCTTTATTAATTGCATGACATATTTCTCGGAAGGGCCAACTTTATGCAGACGATCCTCGTTAGCAATCATATATGCATCAAACTGTTCACAGGTAAGATTCTTCAAATTGTACTTTGTAAGAATGGTGCCCTTGACAGAGTCGAGTAAGAGTCTATTCCTTTCCTTTGTCCATTGAGCATTAATCAAGGAGAACACACTTCCCACATTGCCATTGTGTCCAGGGATACAGAAGAAAAATGCACAAATTTTAAGTAACTCTGAAAAGCAACATGCATTTGGGCAACTTTGGAAAAATAAACTCCGCTGTTCATGCAGGAGTCTTTCAGAAAAACTGTTCATTTTTGTCTTGTAAAAATGATTTAAGATAGCAGTATTGGTCAAACAATTGCACATCATCTACAATAACACCCTTCTCTTTCAGATACAATATGCATGCCGAAAGGTCATCTAATTAACAGTCTTTGATTTTATCTAAGTGCATCCAATTAAAGCATTGAAATTCA